AAAAGCCCCACAGCTGAGAGCATGTTTGGTGTGACGGGGATTCGAACCTGTGACCTCAGATGTGATGGGGCTTAATTATCTTTTGATAAGTAGTTGATTACTATTCTCATTATTTCTCTCATTTAAATATCATCACAGTGAATACATTTTCATCTGTGGCTTAAAAAAAGACAAAGTATAAAAAGAAGAACATGGATGAGTTAATTCAGTAAAACAGAAGTGTCTAATTCACCCATAGAAAAGGACCATTTTATCACTCTTGGCAGTTGTATTGATACCATCTGCCATTACAAACAGTGATTACATAAGTCAGTATTGTGTTTGATAGTAGACTACACATCAATTTTGAACATCACAAAAATGACCAGTATTGTAATTGAAATGTGAGAATTGTAAAAATACTTGATGACATCTTACTATAATAGAGCAACGGCATTGCTATCTATATATCTATCTACATGACTGAAATAATACATACAATGGTGACATCTATTATGCCTAAATACAACAAAATATAAATGCCAAAAGTGGTTACTGGGTCTTATGAAATGTGTCCCAATCTATTGAATGTCAACACAAACAAAATTCCATAAAAAAAATGTCACACAGTATTCAAGATTAACACAATTAGAAAAATAACTATGTTATACGTGACAGCCACAAAAACACAACTTTCACTATGATTGTACATGAGGGTTTGATTATATCTTTATTGGTGGGTGTAATTTTTAAATGTAGCACTAAAAAACTGAAGTTCATAAAAATATATACAATTTGTTTTTCAATAAAGAGTACCACTTTCAATATATAAAGACATTACAGTTTATATTATTAAAATTTATGAAAATTTTGAGCTCTGTACATTGAATCATTTTAATGCGATGAGTTGAGTATGACTAAAGAGAACAAATCGAACAATTTCCCATGCAGTACTTCCCAGAAAAATCCTTTTTATTTTTTGACAATGAAGTATGAATACTATGATGACTAATTACTAGCACAAACAGCCATCCTTAGAGCGACGTTTCTACTAGTTTGTATAACATAATTAAAGAAATAATAAATACAATAATGACATCTGTTGTGCTGAAATACAAGATCTCAATGCCAAAAGTGATGATTGAGGCTTATGAAATGTGATGCCAAAATATTGAATGGCACCACAAACAAAATTCTATAAAAAATTTCACACTTTGGGTATTCAAGATTCAGACTTGGGTAATTATCATAATATACAGGCCACTTTGCCTTCTATCATTGTGTTCTGTGTTGACTTTTGATTCCCAGTTAACATTTTGATGTACTATTGTTAAATTTCTTCAAGCTTAATCAAATCAAAATAAATTTTAGTTAAAATGAATTATGACCACCATATCCTAACACTGTGATAACTGAATCATCACATACAACAACTACAATGACTGATTTAGTAATATAGCTAACATGAATATATAGAGGATGGATACATTGGTAGTTGAATAGTTTAACTTAACAAGACTTGCAGAACATAAAAAGAATGTTGAAAATTATCAAACAATTAGTGTCATTTTCTACATACGTCGAATCTTGATCTTGAAATCACTGCAAATCTATGGTGAATTTAAATCATAGTACAATCAAATTGTATTAATCTATCAAATATAAGCTAAAAACATATTAGAACTACGTTCCGTACATTCATGTCACTTTGAAAGGTATTTGAAATTATTTTGTTGGAGATTTTCTCAATGATTATAATAATATTAGCATTCTAACAGTAGATAAATACACAATACCATGTAAAATTTAAAAATAATGTTTTGAACCACTACGATGGTACAACACAAAATTGAGTTGAATACAAGTTCAATCCAACAACTGCTTGTCGTGAAAATCACATACACCATTTATTTTATAATATAAGTTCCAATTCCCTTAATGGCATATCACATCAGAAAAGGTTTCTGCAGCTTAAAGTAAACTTCAGTGGCATCTGAAATGTGGTGACCTTTGAACCTACAACAGTTTTACTTTTGATGTAATTCTAGTTTTATTTTTTTACTTCAGCTAACTTCCAGTTGTTTTTCAATCAAGATTCTTTGTGTACAAAACCAGTATTAACTGTTTGACTATTTTCAACATCCTTTATGTTAACCTGGTGAAACACTGTAATCATATGTACTCTGTGTATGATGATAAACAAGTTTTTCAATTTACATAACAGGATACTTCTTTTAATCACTTATTATGAT